TTAATTTCCATTTCTCTGATGATGTGGTGTGGAGCACCATTTTTACTGTATGTATGTATGTATGTTTTGGGGTTTTTGTTTTGTTTTGTTTTTTGTTTTTTTTTTGAGACAGGGTCTCCCTTCGTTGCCCAGGCTGGAGTACAGTGGCACAATCATAGCTCACTGCAGCATCGAACTCCTTGGCTCAAGTGGTCCTCCTGCCTCAGCCTCACCATCTGTGTATCTTCTTTGGTGAGGTGCCTATTCAGGTCTTTGGCCCAGTTTTTACTAGGTTGTCTGTTTTTTTATTGTTGTGTTTTAAGAGTTCTTTGTATATTTTGGATAATAGTTCATTATCAGATAAATCTTTTGCAAATATTTTCTTTCCATTCTATAGATAGTCTTTTCATTCTCTTAACGGTGTCCTTCTCAGAGCAGAGGTTTTTAATTTTAATGAAGTCCAATTTATCATGTCATTCTTTCGTGGAGTGTGTCTTTGGTATTGTTTCTAAAAAGTCCTCCCCAAACCCAAGGCCATCTAGATTTTTCTCTTGTGTTAGCTTCTAGTTTTGTAGTTTTGCAGTTTATGTTTAGGTTTGTGATTCATCTTTAATAAAGTTTTTTGAAGGGTCTAAGGTCTATGTTTAGATTTTTGTTGTTGTTGTTTTTGCATGTGGATGTCCAGTTCTTCTAGCATGATTTTTTGAAAAGATTGTCTTTGTTTCATCGTGTTGTGTTTGCTTCTTTGTCAGAGATCAGTTGTCTGTATTTATGAGGGTTTATTTCTGAGCTCTCTATTCTGTTCCACTGATGTGTTTGTCTTTTCTTTTGCCAATGCCACACTGTCTTGATTACCGTAGCTTTATAGTAACATAGAAGTCGGGTAGTGTTGCTCCTCCAACTTTGTTCTTCAGTACTATGTTGGCTATTCTGGGTCCTTTGCCTCTTCATATGAACTTTAGAATTAGTTTGTTGATATCTTTAAAATAACTTACTAGGCTTCTTGTCTCTTTTAAGGGCTCATCTTATAAGGTCAGGCCCAGTCAGGATAATCTCCCTTTCGATTAACTCAGATTCAACTCGCTGAAGACCTTAATTACATCTACAAAACCCCCTTTGCCATATAACAAGCATGGAACTGACAACCCATCATATTCACCAGTCTTGCGTGCACATAAGGGAGGGCATTGCACAGGGCACGCATACCCAGGGGGCAGCGATCGTGGGGGCCATCTTGGAATTCTGCCTTCCACAAAAATAACGTCATTGAGTACCTACTGAAGTGCCAAACACCATTTGATTAATTCCCACCTGTGAGTTAAATGGTATTATCCAAGTTTTACTTAAAGGGAAACTAAAGCTCAGGGAAATGAAGCAATTTGTGTAACTAGTAAATAGTTCGATCAGGATTCTAACCCAGGTTTTTTGGTCTCCAAAGCCCAGGCCCTGTCCATGTTGCCGCAGTATTTCCGACAAACCTATCATGTCTCCCTCCTTTCTAATTTATTTGCTTCTCTCCAGCCCCACTGTCTTGGCTGTGGGCCATCGTCATCCCTCCCTGGCACTCCTGCAGCAGCATCCCGAGCCATCTTCCTGCCTTTGCTCTTGCTCTTCTCTGGTTTGTCCTCCACAGTGCTAAGGTGCAGCCCTGACTGTCACTTCCTGCTGTGGATGCATGCATTGCTTCTCCAGTTAGAGTCCACACTCTCTAATACGGTTATGAGGCCTCAGTTTGGGCTCTGCCCACTTCTCTAACGTCATCTCTTACCTCTCTGTCCTTTGATGAGTGTACCACGTGTTGTTCCCTCTGCCTGGAACACTCTTAACCACTCTTCATCTGCCTAGTTCTACCCTGCTCTCAAGTCTAGATGAAATGTCACTTCGTCCAGAAAGCTTTCTTTGACTCCCGAATTTGGTGAGGTACTCCCATTCCATGTTCCCATAGCACCCAGTACTTTTCCTGTAATAGCACTGCATTCTATTAGAATGACAAATTTGTCTGTGTTATATGGTAGATTACGTGTCTGATTCTTGTCCGTATTCCCAATATCTGGCATATATGGATCTCAACATTTATTAATAAATGAATGACAGAGGACTTTAAGGGGTTACTTTTTTCCTGTCGTCTTTGAAATCTTTCTTTCTTTTTAGTCTCTGCTTTTTCTCCTTTGCCATTGAAAAATGCCTTTTTTTTTTTTTTTTTTTTTGAGACAGGGTCTTACTCTGACACCCGGACTAGAGTGCAGTGGTGTCATCATAGTTCACTGCAGCCTCAAACTCCTGGGCTTAAGCAATCTTCCTGCTTCAGCCTCCCGAGTAGCTAGGACTATAGCTATGAGCCACTCTGCCTAGCTAATTTTTTTATTCTTTGTAGAGACAGGGGTCTCACTGTTACCAAGGCTGGTCTTGAATTCCTGACCCTCAGTGATCCTCCTCCCTCAGCCTCCCAAAGTGCCAGAATTACGGGTGTGGGCCCAGCCAGAAAAATACGTTTAATATCACATATCAAAAAAGCTATCTACTTTGCATGTGTTTTATTTGGGATCAAATAATTAGTATATAATGAAGCTGGGACAAGATTGTGGGCCTTTAAACTTTAAATTTCATGTGTTTTCCACTATTTTATGCT